GAGAGAGAGAGAGAGAGAGAGAGAGAGAGAGAGAGAGAGAGAGAGAGAGAGAGAGAGAGAGAGAGAGAGAGAGAGAGAAAGAGAGATAGAGAGAGAGATAGAGAGCGAGAGAGAGAGAGCGAGAGAGAGAGAGAGAGCAGAGCAGAGATGACCTGGACTACTGTACGACTGCCCCAATATTGCAATGACTAAATAGTATTATAATTACTATTACTACTATTATTATTACTGTTGGTATACCTATTAAAATTGGTATTATTATAACTATTACAATTATTATTATTATTACCAAAATAGTTTAAATAGGTACTTATAATGAGGATTTTGCTGGTGAGTTTTTACTTATTTACATTGTTGGGAGTAAATTTTAGGTAGCGATATACTATTTTTGCTACAACCTGTGTAGAGTACCAAAAGCCAGCTACTGAACATGTTGCTAAAATGTTAAGTATGTAGATTTATGATGGTTAGGGTCATTGCTTACATCCGGTTGCGCTCAGCAAGGATGAAGGGCTGAAGTGCAACTCTTGAGTCATTGTTTTCCAACCTTTCACGCCTACAAAAATATACAAACACAATACACACTTACTTATTTCTGTATTGGATCAAACATCAAACAATTTAATTCTACAGCTATTTCAATTTTATTTTACTATTATTTCAATTTTATATCATAGTAATTTCAATTTTATTTTACTATTATTTCAATTTTATATCATAGTAATTTCAATTTAATTTCTATTTAATTTTCAATTACAAATCATGTTACATCCCACCTATTATATCCTTCGTACATTCAGTAAATATGCCATATTGCATTAAAAATATTAAACTTCAAAACTTACATAATTCTTTTGTAATTTAAAACATACAGGTACAGACTTCCAGCTGTAATTCCAAGAAATAGACCAAAGCATCCATATCCTGAAAAAAGGACCACACAAAATATATACGTATATATAACAATCACGGTATAACGATTGTCAGAGCATTGTCAGTTTCGATTTATGTGAAGTGCAGTGCCTGTGCCTGTGCAGTGCCTGTGCAGTTGCCTGCCACATTACTTAATGACTGCAATCACAGAAAAGTAATGTAAAGCGTGGTTTGCAGATGTTACAAATAGTAGTTGAGTGATTGGAAATGTCGTGACAGTGGTTGCATAATAAATGGGTTAGTCGGCGGCAGCACGTTTGATGTAGTATGGATGATGGAGATGAGAAACGGTTGAGTGTCAGTTGTTGTGCATGTGAGTAGCAGGTGTGGTTGTACGTGCGCGCGCGCGACTGATTTCTGTGTTAGCTACAAATGTATAAATGGAAGGTTCTTGGTGGAAAGGGGAGAACGAGTGTGCGGAGTCACGTGGACGCGTGCCTATGTGCGCACGCATGTGGGTTGAGAAACAATAATACTATTTGCAAAACACAACTGCTTGGACTTTGGAGTTTTCCTTATTCATCGCTACAACAAATCTATTTTGAACCGGGTAACGTCACATCCTCGTTACATTTTTGATGCCGTGGACAGTTCGAACCGGGTTTGTGGACATAACGCAGGATACTACCACTACAAACGATTCACGAGCCACGGAACCACGGAAGATACTACGCAAGGAAGATGGAGAAGGAAGAAGACACCGGAGGAGTCGCTGGGTACACCGCTGGCAAGAAGACTGGAGATAGAGAAACGAAGAGCGGACGAGAGAGCAAGAGAGACGAAGGAAGAGAGAGAGAGAGAGAGAGGGAGAGACGGAAGGAAAGAAGGCAATGCCGAGACGCCGAAATAGACAGATGCCGTGAAAGCCGCAGAAGCCGAGATAAGAAGCTAGAAGAAAGAAGAGGAAGATATGTCGTGGTAAGTGATGCATTATTCCTAGTATAAATTTCGCTGTGCTAACGCTGTTTACTGTCGCCCGACTGCTAAGTATACTGACGATATTGCCTGTTGCACATTTATGTAAGTGGAGCGCGGAAGGTTTGTGCCACAATAGATGCGTTATAGGGTGCATCAGGTATAGAGAGCGTTACACGGGTTAAGATAGATAGCCGTGGCACGCGTGTGATAAAGGGCGAAGAAGTCTCTACGCAAACGTATTCGCGTCAAGCGTCACGTTTAACGCATGGGAAAGAGGTTTGCATACGCGGCTAAAGTTATGTCTCTGTAAAGACAAGTCGCGTACACGGTCCGAGAGAAGGACTGTGGGGGATTTCTGTGGCAGCATATATACACTGGGAATCCTCCACATAACGTGTCAGGGAGCACAGGATATAGATACGCTCGATGTGTAAGCACCCTAAGATACTAGGGCGTACCTGAACGATATAAGGATTCTTTCAGTCACGCCATAATGAAGGCACAGTAGATAATCGTATGATATATAGTTATGCACAGGTGTATAGTTGGATACTATAGAAGACTGGCAACGCAATAATGGCAAGCACAGATGATTAGTTATTTTGGGAAAAATGTGACGCTGAATACAGCAGGGTATATTTAGTTAGGAACATGTTGTTATGACATATAATAGGCATGTTAGTACAGTAAATGAGTAAACAGTGTTTCTTGTTTTTACATATCAATAGCATATATAGGAACGATTGGGTATGGGTACCTATATTTTAAATGGATTGTAAATATTGTGGGACAGTCTGCTAATTTTTATTATTTCTTAATATTGTGATTCACTTTTGCTTATAGCATATAAGCAAGAAGTTTCTAGCATCGGGGACCATAGTGAATATAGATTGAGCAAGATATGAATTTTGGGGGTAAATGGCTATGTGTTATTAGGTGTGAATCCTGCGGTTTAGGATGCAGAGATGTTGTAAGCTGGAGCATGATGTTGAGTAAGCATATATGATATATATCATACATATATAATGGCAGGGTTGTTTAAGGATTTTTAGGAGAGGGGTATTCACGTAATGACCTGGGTTTCGAGTATTGTGTGGCGCACAGCATTACAATTGAAGCATATGGCATTAGTGATATCGTTGTGGGATTGGAGCTACGTAGCTGCCTGGGAAATTTTTTTTTTCAGTGAGATGTTATGATATCTATCTTTCTTGCCATTGTAATTTATTGCATATTTTCTATTCAAGGTGTTTGTGTTGTGGGTATTGCAGGGAGAGCGTTTTTGTTTTTTCTCGTATATGGAATTTTTGTCAAACTGATATTTGGTGTAATGAGTGTGATTGGTGTGCAGTGAAATAATCTTGTAATTATAGGGTAAGGTACGAGCAATTTTTTGGTAATGTTTTGGATTGTCTAATCGCCAGGATTGAGAGACAGTGTGTGTTGTGTGTGTGTGTGTGTGTTGTGTGTGTGTGGTGTAATTTGTGTTGTGTTGTGTGTGTGGTTGTAGTGTGTCCGCGTGTCGCTGTGTGTGTATATGTAAGGAGCTTAATGGGTGTGTACGTAGGGTGGATAACGATTAGGGTTTATTTAGATTAGGCGAGGATGCTAAGAGTCGATGGCTTATAGAAGCCATCTTGGAGGAAAGGAAGGTAATAGTAAAGCGTTGTTTGCAGAATGTTACAAATAGTAGTTGGTGATTGAAATGTTCGCAAACAGTAAGCTTGCATAAATGGGTTTACGTCGGCGCTGCGCGTTTGATGTAGTATGGATGATGAAGATGAGAAACGGTTGAGAGTCAGTTGTTGTGCATGTGGGCAGCGGGTGAGGTTGTACGCGCGCGCGCGACTCATTTCTTTGTTAGCTACAAATGTATAAATGGAAGGTTCTTGGTTGAAAGGGGAGAACGAGAGTGTGCGGAGTCACGCAGATGCGTGCCTCTGTGCGCACGCATGTGGGTTGAGAAACAATAATACTATTTGCAAAACACAAAGTTCTGCTTGGACTTTGGAGTTTTCCTTATTCATCGCTACAACAAATCTACTTTGAACCGGGTAACGTCACATCCTCGTTACAGTAATACCCCGTGTTATTATAACTCGCCCACCAGTTAGGTGAATTCGCTCATACATAATTTGTAAATTAGGACCACTTTACTCAGAATACGAAACTAAAACGTGCTCTTACGCAATATTTAATAAAAAAAATTCGCCTTTTTCATTTATGCATTTACAATCACTGCATTGTGTCCACTGTACTTTAATTACAGGATACATATTTTGCACTTTCTTTTATGTATTACATCATTAAATTGTCCATACATATGTTTTCAAATGTTTACTTGCATTCTTAATTGTACTTATATTAGGGTAAATCATGGTATTACCTACTTCCCAGGTGTACCTAAACGTGTGACCGGGGACATGCTTCTGTACATTACGATAGCAGTGTGTATATCGACATAGCATTAATTGGGGGTACCTGCTGATAACTAGCCAGGGTAGTCAATGTAATTGAGGTTATGGAAATTCGTGTTAATAACGTTTTTCTGGAAAGTATTACTTTCATAATGCAGGGTATCACCGCACTGTGTTGTGTACACGACATGTAAGACCACAGGTACTTGGAACGTTTCAATAATAAAATGATTGTATATAAACACGAACTGTATTTGCAGCCCAAAAGGGTTTAAGTCTTAGTGTATGTTCTCTATCGACGAGCAATTACACGTAAATGCCATTCAATTGCGCCACTGCAACACAGTCTCACCGCTCACACGCCACTGTGCAAAAACTACAAAAATATAGATAAGGTGGAAAAGCGTGACTGCAAAATTCACGCGACGCTCGCTTCGTTTCAACACAATCACGGCAGAAATTCACAACCAACCACCTCCATTTTGGTGTCTATGCGTAGCTAAATGTTCACTTGTTCAAATTATAAATTATAAATATACCAACTTGTACTGCTTACTTTACCAGGAGATATCTGGTGAATTCCTGCAGAAAACATCCACTCTGCCAAAATGGGAGCAATTAGTGCCCGTTTATCATCCGAAACTCCCTAACCGCGCTACCCGAGTGTGTGATGTCAATCTCGTGCTAGCTCGCCTTGGCAAGTCTCGAAATGGAGCTCGGAAGCAGGGACGCTTGAACCCAGAATGCAATGCGGTGCCATTACTCACGTACTTGCTCCCATTTGAATTTTGGCGGAGTTGGAATTTTCCACAAGAATTTACCAGATATCTCAAGGGTAAATTAGGCAGTACCAGTGGGCCGTTATATTTCGAACAAGTGAACATTTCGCTACGCACAGGTACCAAAACGGAGGCGGTTCGTTGTGCATTTGTGCCGTCATTGTGTGAAGCGAACAGTGTCGCGCGAAATTTGCGGTCACGCATTCCTACCTGCTCTATGACTTTGTTATTTGTGACAGCAGAACTTGTGTGTTGTACTTGTAGAGAGGCTTTTGACGGCATTTACAGAAATTTATTACTAACAAGTGCCGGTGCGGGCAGAGCGACAGCGCTCACGCTGACGGCAGGTGTTCTGATGCTAAACTCACTGGCAAACAAATAAAGAGCACCCTCCGATCACCGCGGTTCACGACTCAGAGCATATATCTAGGATACTACTAATACAGATCTAAAATCTATGATAGCTAGGCTTTGCTATACCGGTTAGTACAGACAGCTGTGTAACTTTAATGACTTCGCTATATTAACATGTTATCATGGATATGCGTCGCGCGTGAGGCATATGATGGTGGTGGTGGGGAGAGTGGGGGAAGGGGCGGATGGAGGGGGCTCTAATGCCAAAAGCAGTTTGGCCGCGAGATGGGCGTGCAAGTGTCATCAATAATCACACACTTCGTGCGTGATAACACACTCCATTGAATTGCTGAAATCAAGTATGCTTCAGGCAGGCGAGAATTTCGCTCAGCTGTGAGTTAACACATCTCATTGCAGGTTGTCAGGCAATAATTATGATTAGAATAGTGCAGTTTCACCCGCCTGGCATGCGTAATGGGCTGCCCCCATGTTTGCCTACCGCACGCAGCATTCAGGGTTCATTACAGGTGTGCTAATACAGGTGGCT